TCAACAAACCAAAACTGGGAACTGCCGGCTGCCCAAAAGCCGCCTGAAGAACCAACGCCCAAGATGGACATCTCGAGGGGTTAAATAATCGATCATATTTTTGCTGCACAGGGCCTTAAATCCTTTTCCTCCCTACAGGATTAAGTTGACCTACCTTCATATTAGGTTTGTTGTTACTATCAGCTGCAACATGCTATTCAAGCACAATTTGGATCATTAGATAACCCTCTTCAAATGTCTCTCCTGGAAAAACAATTACATCGCCCACATACCACTAAACTTACCTCCGAGCATTACTCTATGCTTATGACTGATTCCAACCCTAGATTCGCCACTGCTAAAGCTAGATGAATATCCCTAGATATAGAATTGACTGACTCGGACTGGTCTGAATTTAGTGATTTAGGCCTAACATTTATTTCTTCTGTGTTAGGCCTCTCTACTGTTTTAGATCCTAAACTTGTCTTTTGGGAATTTTTGGGGATTTAAATCTCTCTAAATATGCTAAGCTAAGCGGTTGCTGTGTATATTGTATTTCTATGCCAAAATGGTGATCCTGCTTACTTGAAAGAGCCCTGCATTGCCAACTATATCACAATGGATTACACTTATTAATTATGCACTTCCTTTATACAGGCTCACCTTTGAGCTGAGGAAAAAGAGAACAATATTTATTAAACTTGGGGGCAGGTGGATTGCTAGTCCCCTTACCTTGACCTCTCTAGATCCAGATGTTTAAGTAATGCTTTCATGATCTCAATGCATATTATGCATTTATTCCAAAGTGCATAACCCTGTTCTTAGACGTACTTGTTATAGTTTCTATAGCATTGTTCCTTGTTGCATATGACCTGTGAGACCCTGTGCGGGCGCTGTTTTTTTTTTTTTTTTTTTTTTTCAGGACCTTGTGAGTCTTGTTGTGCTGTTTGTTGTATGATATAGAAAAATGTAAAAAAATTTAATAAATATATCTTAAAAAAAAAAAAAAGAACCAACGCCTGAATCTGAACAAGATGAGGTTAAGATCTTACTAGATAGAGGAACTATTAACACAACCAGTGGGGAGGCATGGAGCATCAACCTGGCAATGATGCAAGTAGGCCCACAGTGTGCAGCAAGGCCTCAGGTACTCACAAACCAAGGCAGCTAGATTGCTGATGAGGGTAGGACAGCCAGAGGTGGTAAAGCCACTGTAGACAGACAGTGACAACAAACCTCCATATGCAAGCAGGTGCAGCATCAGAATTATGGCAAAAATGGTAGCTTAATGACAGGAAAGAGAGCTTGAATTTAACTCTTTCACGCCTAAGGGTAAAACAAATCTTAACACCTAAGCACAATCTTGCAACTTTGACATGTGTTAGTAAAACCGTACATACCATAACAACTACTTTGTACATCCAGGTGAATTATACCTTGTTTTTTTAAGGAAAAAATTGGGCTCTCATTTGGTGGTAAATGGTAATGGATATCTCCTGTTCTTTTTCTAATATCAAAAGAAAACTGGGCCAAAACAGTAAAAAAAAAAAAAAAAAAAAAAAGGTATTTTTTTTTTAATCTAGCTGTGTGCTTCTTGTTACTACCATAACCTACCACCAAAGAGCCCAAAATAAATTTTCCAGCTCTTGACGATCACAGTGATATGTGTATGTTATTAGTTGTTTGTACCCACAGTACAGCTCAGAGACAATAGTGCGCATTTTGTTTAGTTTTTTTTTTTTTTTTACCTAAAAACACACTGACACCAATTTATAAAAAAAAAATCCTGACCTTTAACCCTGACCTAGATCAAACCTTGATCTAGGTTATTTTTTCTTTAGTTGGTATATTTATCTTTTTTTTTCCCTCTATGCAAGGAGAGAGAGAGATACAGAGAGATACAATGCATCACTCTCTTCCATTCATAGAGAAAAACAAACAAGGGGGGTGGGCTGTACAGTGACTGATCATTGTGATAGCCAATCAGAGGCTATCACAGCGATCAGGTGTCCCGGCCCCGGTCTTTGTGCTCGGAGCGAGCCGAACAGCACGCTCCGAGCACAAAGACCGGGGTGTCACTGAAAGACAGGTATGCAAATATGCAGCCCCACGGAAAAAAGGCCAGTTCTGTGAGACCGCATATGTGAGTGACGTCGGCGTAAAGGGGTTAAACAGCATAACTTAAAAGAAGAAAGAAAAGGAGGAGCTGAGACAGCTGTTGGGAGATCTCAAAAGAGGAGGTTTGGAGCCACACCAATACTTGCACAAAGCAGGTAAATAAAAAATGATTTTGTTTTATTTCCTTCAAGAAAAAATATTTTTAGGTTTACAATAACTTTAAATGAGGAGCTTTGGTCCCCCCCCCCCCCAAATAAAAAAATAAAAAGTCAGCAGCTACAAATACTGTAGCTATTGACTTTTAACATAAGGACACTTACCTGTGCAGGGATCCAACACCTGAGCCAGTTCTTCACCATGCTTTGGGTCTCTAGTGCCAACATCTTGACTATGGGAAACTGTCTGTGAAGCCTTGTGCGCTGCACTCTGTGAAAGGTCTCAGTCTTCTGGGACCTGTGATGTGTCCCAGAAGGCTGCGAGCGAAAGAGGATGGGGGGTTACCTCTACCTCCCTCCCAAAAAAAAAAAAAAAACAAGTACCAAATTTTAAAGAGGAAGAGGGAAGGAGGCAAACAAGCACAACTTCCTCTTTTGGGTGAAGTTCCGCTTTAACCAGGCTCACAGAAAAACACTGGGTAAAAAAAAAAAAAAAAAAAAAAAGTTTACCAATGCAGTGATCTATATCTTTACAATCTAATGAACAGGTAGGAAGTGAAACAGTGATACAGGAAGCTGGGTAGCTTTAAATAGTAATAGGCAAAGTTTAGCACAGTTTTTGTGCTAAACAGCCAAAACCTGCCTATACAACATGGCGGTCAAGAGTGTGCACGAATATCAAGAATGGCTGTTTGGCTGCACTTAATTAAAGCTAATCTTAAAGTGTCAGTGAACTTTTACTTAACTAACAGATGTAGCGGCTGTGGGCACTCTATAAAAGTAAATGTAGTCTCATCGATATACAAAGGTTGTGATGTCATCAATCTGCCTCTCCAACTCAGCCAATCAGAAGAAGCTTTGTATTCATTCACAGAACACAAAGCTTCCTCTGATTAGCTGAGCAGCTTTCAGCCCAATTTGATTTTGCTCTGGGAGTAGGACAGGAAGTCTCTATCCCGCTTCCAGAACACAGCGTTGTATACTACACTGATCAAAAAAATTAAAGGAACACTTTGTAATCAGAGTATAGCATCAAGTCAATTAAACTCCTGCAATATTGTTCTGGTCAGTTAAGTAAAAGAGGGGGTGGTTAATCAGTTTCAGCTGCTTTGGTGTTAATGAAATTAACAAAAGGGGCACTAGATGGGCAACAATAGAGACCCCCAAAACAGGAATGGTTTTAAGGCGGAGGCCACTGACATTTTTTTCCCCTACTCACCTTTTCTGACTGTTTTTCACTAGTTTTGAATTTGGCTAAAGTCGGTGTCACTACTGTAGCATGAGGTGATACCTGGACCATACAGAGGTTGCACAGGCAGTCCAACTCCTCCAGGATGGCACTTCAATACGTGACATTGCCAGAAGGTTTACTGTGTCTCCCAGCACAGTCTCAAGAGCATGAAGGAGATTCCATGAGACAGGCAGTTATTCTAGGAGGGCAGGACATGGCCATAGAAGGTCCTTAACCCATCAGCAGTACCGATATCTGCTCCTTTGTGCAAGGAGGAAGAGGATGAGCACTGTCAGAGCCCTACAAAATGACATTCAGCAGACCACTGGTGTGAGTGTCTCTGACCAAACAATCAGACTTCATGAGGGTGGCCTGAGGGCCCTGTGATCACTGCCTGGAACTATAGAGCTCGGTTGGCATTTGACATTCAACACCAGAATTGGCAGATCCGCCACTGGCACCCTGTGCTTTTCACAGATGAGAACAGTTTCACCATTAAAACGTGACAAACGTGAAAAAGGTGTGGAGAACATTATGCTGCCTGTTACATCGTTTAGCATGACCGTTTTGGTGGTAGGTCAGTGATGGTCTGGTGAAGCATATTCTTGGAGGGACGCACAGACTTTTACAGGCTAGACAATGGCACCCTGACTGCAATTAGGTATCGTGAATAAATCCTTGGACCCATTGTCAGACCCTACGCTGGTGCAGTGGGTCCTGGGTTCCTCCTGGTGTTTGACAATGCCCGGCCTCATGTGGCGAGATTATGCAGACAGTTCCTGGAGGATGAAGGAATTGATACTACTGAATGGCCCCCACACTCGCCTGAGTTAAATCTAATAGGGATATCATGTTTCGGTCCAACCCGGCGCTACCAAGTTGCACCTCAGACTGTCCAGGAGCTCAGTGATGCCCTGGTCCAGATCTGGGAGGAAATATCCAAGGACACCATCCGTCGTCTCATTAGGAGTATGCCCAGACGTGGTCAGGTATGCATACAAGCACATGGGGGCCATACAAACAACTGAGTACCATTTTGAGTTGCTGCAATGAAATTTCAGCAAAATGGACTAGTCTGCTACATCATTTTTTCACTTTGATTTTTGGGGTGTCTTTGATTTCAGTCCTCTGTAGTTTGATCATTTTAATTTCCCTCAAACGATGGGGCATCCTTACGTTCTTAACAGATTACCCAGTCCATATCAGTATAGATATCCAGCATGATATTTTTCCCCGTTGATATCTGATGTGTTTCAAAGTGTACCTTTTTTTTGAGTAGTGTATATGTAGCCGAGACTACATACAGTTTATACAGCGCTCACAGCTGCTGCATCTGTTAGTGAAGTAAATACCAGCTTGGTCCAAACAAACAATTTAAAAGTTTACTGAAACATGAAGATCAACTTTAGGAAAAAACACCCCAAAAAAATAAAAGCACAGAAAACTTGGACACGTTAGTCTTGAATGGAATGAATCGGTGTGTATATCTACAGACATTTAACTATACATGTACCAACCTGAAAATGTCCAGATCCCTGAACAGAAAGACGAGATACACCGCGCTGCTCTCCCAGAATGCTCTGTTTAGCTTGCGCTCATTGCTTGGGGTGGTGGACCAAATTCCCTTCTGCTGGGAGATCTCAAGATTCCTCAGATTGCTGCTCTTCATTATAAAGTATCGCACTGACAAATTTGGACGTGGTGAAGGAGACTTTGAAGACTGCAATACATTATAAAATAATAAACATTCTTTTGAACATGTAATGACTATTGGCATACATCATGTCTATAATGGGCATGAAATCCTTCAATCAAAACAATTATAGAGTGTTCCGTTTTAGCAACTTTCCAGGGTTGACTGCATGTAAATGTAAACTACCCACATTACTTTATTATAAGTAATATATCAGATCAATTCAGCATTTCAGTTTAGGGGCATGATTTCAAAAAATTAGACAGAATGGGGGAAATTAAAAATAGTGGCAGAGGCAAAAAATGTGCATTATTCTTCTAAACTTTAAAAGCAGATGCAGCTACTAGTCAACAAAAGGGGCACAATACCCTTTGTTAATTAGGAGTATCTGCTCCCTATCCTATGTGACAGACATGGCATTGAGTAGTTCAGCTAGAGCTGCATGTTCACAGTTCACATCCCATATACCAGGTCCGTTGCTTTTTCACTTACAGGTGAAACTCAAAAAATTTGAATATCGTGCAAAAGTTCATTTATTTCAGTAATGCAACTTAAAAAGGTGAAACTAATATACGAGATAGACTCATTACATGCAAAGCAAGATAGTTCAAGCCGTGATTTGTCATAATTGCAATGATTATGGCTTACAGCTCATGAATACCCCAAATCCACAATCTCAGAAAATTAGAATATTGTGAAAAAGTGCAATATTCTCGGCTCGAAGTGTCCCACTCTAATCAGCTAATTTATCCATAACACCTGCAAAGGGTTCCTGAGACTTTAAATGGTCTCTCAGTCTGGTTAAGTAGGAATCACAATCGTGGGAGAGACTGCAGACCTGACAGTTGTGCAGAAAACCATCATTGACACCCTCCATAAGGAGGGAAAGCCTCAAAGGTAATTGCAAAAGAAGATGGATGTTCCCAAAGTGCTGTATCAAAGCACATTAATAGAAAGTTATGTGGAAAAGAAAAATGTGGAAGAAAAGGGTGCACAAGCAGCAGGGATGACCGCAGCCTGGTGAAGATTGTCAGGAAAATGCCATTCAAAAGTGTTGGGGACTTTCAAAAGGAGAGGACTGAGGCTGGAGTCAGTGCATAAAGAGCCACCACACACAGACGGATCCTGGACATGGGCTTAAAATGTCGTATTCCTCTTGTCAAACCGCTCCTGAACAACAATGTCAGAAGCGTCTTATCTGGGCTAAAGAAAAAACGAACCTGGTCTGTTGCTCAGTGGTCCAAAGTCCTCTTTTCTGATGAGAGCAACTTTTGCATCTCATTTGGAAACCAAGGACCTAGAGTATGGAGGAAGAATGGAGAGGCACACACTGCAAGATGCTTGAAGTCCAGTGTGAAGTTTCCACAGTCTGTGTTGATTTAGGGAGCCATGTCATCTGCTGGTGTTGGTCCACTGTGCTTCATTAAGTCCAGGATCATGGCAGCCGTCTACCAGGAGACTTTGGAACACTTCATGCTTCCTTCCGCAGATGAGCTTTATGGGGATGCTGACTTCATTTTCCAGCAGGACTTGGCACCTGCCCACACTGCCAAAAGCACCAAAACCTGCTTCAAGGACCGTGGGATTACTGTGCTTGATTGGCCAGCAAACTCGCCTGACCTGAACCCCATAGAGAATCTATGGGGCATTGCCAAGAGAAAGATGAGAGACATGAGACTGAACATTGCAAAACAGCTGTAGGCCCCTATTGAAGCACCCTGGTCTTCCATAACACCTCAGCAGTGCCACAGGCTGATAGCTTCCATGCCACGTCGCATTGAGGCAGTAATTGCTGCAAAAGGGGCCCAAACCAAGTACTGAGTACATATGCATACTTATACTTTTCAGATGTCCGATATTGTTCTATTAACATTCCTTGTTTTATTGATTGCATGTAATATTCTAATTTTCTGAGATTGTGGATTTGGGGTTTTCATGAGCTGTAATCATCACAATTATGACAAATCACAGCTTGAACTATCTTGCTTTGCATGTAATGAGTCTATCTCATATATTAGTTTCACCTTTTAAGTTGCATTACTGAAATAAATGAACTTTTGCACGATATTCTAATTTTTCGAGTTTCACCTGTATATGCAAACAACGAACCAGTTTCTATTTCACTCTGAAACAGGTTTAATGTGGTACATGCCACAAACGACTATTTCCTGCCCCATTATAATGGTGCACTAAGTTTAGATAATTCCCTGAATGAGTCTGTGATCTTTTGCTTTGTTTCATTGTCCAACTCACCCTGAAATAATTAATGAAATATTAGAAGTAATTTTTTTCATCCAATGTTTATTCTTGCTTTCAATGATCAAAATTAAATTCCTACCAAAACCAGTTTCTAGTTCAGGTCTCATTGCTCATTTCACACTGAAGAAATTAATCCTCACTTATTGTCACCAGGACATAATCCAACATTTCCCATTTATCGCTGGAAAAGGGATAGAGAGGAAACTTGATTTTGACCTGTACTGCACGCAACTCTCAAAGTAGGCACTACACTGCACTTTGGAAAGATTACATTTCCCTTTCTGTTGTGTGCCTGGGATGTCTACACAGACGGTAATAAAACAAAAACCAGACAGAGCTTTTAAAAATGTACATCATACAACTAGATACGGTTTCATTTTAAGGCATCCAAGATGTTCAGGTATGCATTCTATGAAGGGGTGGTGTGTGACGCATTGTTACATCACAGTTTACTTTTTTTTTTTACAGAATACTTGTTACATCACAAAATGACACTTCCTTTCTGCCCTTTTTCATTCTTATCAACGCAGCTTCAAAGCACCTAGAGTGAATACACCCTTAAGTGGCCTACAGCTCGGATGTCTTTATTTACACGATAAGGCACATGCTGCGCTTACTAAACAAGAACAAGATAAATACCACTGAAATTGTGTCAGCAAGTACTGTTGGTCCTAGCTCTTAAAATACAGCCTGACAGAGAGACCTACAGATCAGCCTTGGCAATTACTCAGCCCCTTACCTTGACAGAGGCAGGTGAGGATGGGTTTGTACAGGGACTGGTGCAGCTAATGCTTTCAGGTAACTTCCCCAACGTCTGCTCGAATGTATCTTCATGGCGTTTTGGGTGTAAACCAACCTTTTCTTTATTTTTAGCCTGCAGAGTTAACCCTGGAGGAGGAGACTTCACATTTGTTCTGCAAAACAGAAAAAAAAGTTAAGAGAAAATGGCTGCAATAATCCATGAATGGAATGAAAGGATTCTAGCTGGGAGTTTGTTACCATTTGCACATCACACAGAATGCAAGGTCTTGCATTCAAAACAGTGCTGGATAAATCATAGCTAGACTATGATTGGTGACTAGAAGCAACATCTTTTTTTTGGCCAGGTAGGGTAAATCTTCTCAAAAGTGTTTTTCACTCATCATTCTGCAAACTCTATAACTCAATAAGAGGAGTGGGACTTTTTGATATTTCCTAAAGTAGATGTGAAGCTCAGGGCATAGATATCTTCCCAACAGTATGCAGGAGTACTATAAGAAACTATTAGGCCTCTTACAAACTGAAACGTTAAAAAGCTCAGTACAGTTTATTTTTACTGATCTAAAATGCAGCCCATTATTTACAATGTGCCTGTACTCTGGTTTTAAATGTTCCTTGGTCTGAACTGTGTGATGGTTGGAGTCTGAGGGCTGCTGAAGTGACTCCTGTGTGGGAACACCTTTGCTGCAATACACTGATGGAGTCACAGACCCACCTGGAGTCTACAGTGTGGAAATATCGGTTTCTGTGGTCTGAAAATGCATGCTTGATCTCTTATTGCGAGATCATATTCATCTGGTAAAAGGCTTGGATGTGCGGAAGCACTTTGGCACATTAATCGCCACCATAGAAAAGAAAATCTGTCCAACCAGTGAATTTCAAGTCCATACAAAAATTTGTATTTTTGGTTTACCTATAAAATCCTTTTCTTTGAGTACATCACATGACAGAGAACTTCATATTTATGACTTCTACTCTCAGTTAAATAGACATTGGCCAAAAAAAGGCAGAAATCCCCACCCAAGCATACCCATCCCAGCTCAGCTAAGCGTCACTTTTTTTTTTTTTTATAGCAAGCAATGAGGGACAGACCAGAGGTGAAGGTTTACTGTGTCCTGTGGTGAACTCCAAGCACTGAACATGAAGGGTTGGCAACACAGTAATTCCAAACATGTCCAAAAAGGGGTAACCCCACTACATTCTGCTTTCAAGATCTTTTGTACAAAACTGGCATCCACAGAGGCGTTAATATCGATCTGGTAGATTTTAGTAAACATGTGACAAGACCAGGTAGCAGGCTTACAAACTTGAACAGAAGCTTGATACTGAATCACCCAGGAAGCACGGACAATCCAGGTGGAAGGAGCAATAGCCAGGAATGCAGGAATCTTGACCTTAATAACATAGGCCTGAGAGAGAAGCTGATAAATCAACCAAGAAAAAAGTGGATTGAGAATCAGCCTGTCTCTTGCAAGGACTGTCAGAACAAACAAGAAAACAGACTGTTGAAATCAAACTATAGACTTCAGACAAAATTGAACAGCACTAACAATATTGAAAGAGCGAAGCGCCTTCTTCGAAGGATACTCATGATTAGGACTAAAAGGAGGCAACATAATGTTAATTTTCAGGTGGAACAAAACAAACACCGTAGGTAAGAGAGAGGACCAAGGCTTCAATACAAGCTTATCCTGGTGAAGAACGAGGAATGGTTTCCTGCAGAAAAGCCCACCCAACTCCAAAGACCATGTAAGCACAAGTGATGGCAATCAAAATAAGACAACATTGCACATAAGAACAACAAAGGAATCTCTTGGAGAGGTTCAAAAGGAAAGAAAGAAATATTGATCGCAATTTCCACTCCTCTGACAACTACGTCCCCTGAACCAAGAGGTGCTCCAAAACACCTCTTCCCAGCCCAACAGACTGGCCTCTGTCATGCGCCAGTCAGTGCCACCTAACAGTGCCACCTATCAGTGCCATATAGGAGTGCTGCCTTTTAGTACCCATCAGTGATGCCTGTCAATGCCCATCAGTGCCACCTACCAGTGCCACCTATCAGTGTCCATCAGTGCAGCCTATCAGTGCCCATCACTGCAGCCTCATTAGCGCACATCAGTGAAGGAGAAAAATCACTTATTTACAAAATTTTATACCAAAAACTAAGACTTTTTTTCAACATTTTCAGTGGTTTTTGGTTTGTTTAAAAAAAATAAACCCAGAGGTGATTAAATACCACCAAAATAAAGCTCTGTGTTGCATGACCGTGCAATTGTCATTCAAAGTGCAACAGTGCTGAAAGCTAGAAATTGGCCTGGGCAGGAAGGGGGTATAAGTGCCCTGTAGGCTAGTGGTTAAGAAGCACCTAAATAAAATTCTATGTTAAAAAAAAAAAAAAAAACAAACATGCACAGGTGTAGAAAGGGCTCGTTTGCACATTGAGCTGTATTGATCTGCATAGACCAATGTAGGCTCATCACAACAATAGTTTTCCATGAGTCATTCTCACATCATATATGTGTAGTGTTGTGTGTAAAAATGCAGCATGTATGTATTTTTGATACATCCCCGTATTGGTATTTGTTTATCTTTATTTAGATACATTGTAATTGCACTGTTTTAATAATTTGGTTTCAGAGCGCTGGGCTTATGTTGGGTAATACACACACACACACACACACACTTTTGGATTAATTTTAGCACAGCAGCTTGGGATAATTTGTTGTATCTCTTATATTTATTTATATTATTAATTAGGCCCCAGAGCAGAGAGAATTGGATTTATTTTTATGCAGTACAACTCGCCGCACTTCATCGCACCTTATGACAAAAGTTCAAGTGTCATTTTGTGACACTTCAATAAAGTTAAACAAAAAAAAAAAAAAGGGGGGGGGGAAATAACCAATGTGAGAAGTCACAACAACTCATCGCGCTATCCATCAATACCTCTACATAAAGTACCCCCAGCACGCATTTTAGCATGAGGGCTGTTGTGAATGAGCCATAAGAGTAAATTCTAAAGAATACCTGTCCAGATTAGGAAGGTCATCAGAAAAGTCCGTTTCTGAGCTCTTCTGACTATTACTGTTCCTCCAGGAAGATGACACAGAAAGCTCCTCGGAAGATATTGGCCTTGGTCTCTGCCCAATTCCAGAAGGCTGGCGTAAACTTGCAAACTGCTCTTCAGTGGTCAGCACAGCAATCACAGTTCGTATGGTGGCCTCATCTGCTTGTGTCCATGGCTTTGAGGGTGTCCGCATTCTCTTCAGAAACAAAATGTGCCACTTCTGCCGCAGCTGTAGCAAGAGACCAGCAGCCTAGCAAACACAAGAAGTGGTGTTAAAAAAAAAAAAAAAAAAAAAAAAAAAAAAAAAAAAAAAGCCTTGCCATTATTTTAAAAACAGGAATTCCACTTTAGTGTATGTATAATTTTACCTGCATTTGACATCTCAATGATTTTCTCATCAACATGTTAACACTCTTAAAGTGATTGTAAGAGGTAAATAACAAACAGGTTTACCTGCTCTGTTCAATTGTTTTTGCACAGAGCAGTCCGATTCTCCTCTTCTTGAGTCCCCCTGCCAATGCTCCTAGCTCCTCCTCTTCTCATGGGAGGCCGCTTCCTATTTTGGGTACACTGCAGGCTAAGCTGCCTGTCTCTGAGTCAGTGAGAAAAGAAGTAGCACGCTGGAAGTGTAACTATAGTTTTTTTTTTTGCTTTGCATAGAATAAGGGTTTTTTTTAAAACTCCGTGCAGGTTATTTTCTTTGATATGTGTGTAATATTGGGGAAATTTCCCTTCTTGTCCCAGAGACGCAACAGGAAGTTAGAGGAAACTCTGCCGAGTTTTTAATACAGCCTGTGTCCCTACTGGGGAGATTCACCGCTCTATGTGTCCTGGTGACCACTGCCACAGAGACAGAAAGAAATATGAAATAAAAAAAATTAGAGTTGTCACCACAGCAAGAGGTGAGGGTAAAACTTTCAATGGAAGAATTGTCCTGCGACTGCAATTTTCACTTACATTCGGGAGATTTTCTCATGTTCTGTTGCGTCTGTAGGACAGACCGCAAAAGAAAGAAAAAAAAATCTAAAACTAAAAATAAAAAATGTTTAGCATATACATCCACTTTAATGTTTTGCCCCACATTGAAAGGTTGCAATTTCTGTTCTTAGATACCTCACAGAGTCACAAATACCACACAAGAGCTAAAAGAAATATAAAGGAGTCAAACCCTATGTGATCATTTTCATGAACAGACATTTACATACTTTCACATACCGTAGATCTACATATAATAAAACCTTTAATGAATCAAAAACATGTTTTTATCATATAAATCGCAAAGAGTGCACAATAATGAATATTATACAAACATGCTTTAAGGCCCTGGTGCCCAACATGCAGGGTGCATGGGGTCCACCAGTGCATATTAGTCATTCTAGACATGGAGTCTTGTGTGACCCTGTCTGACCAGCTATGTCCCAGAAATGACTTCTCCTGCACTCTAAGACCCAGAGCAAAGGTGGATGGATGAAACCAGAACTTGTAGAATTCGACCACCAATGCATATAAGGTTGTGCAGCTCAAAACAAGGCTGGGGAAGCCCGACCAGTACTGCAAAGTGAAACAAAAAGGAAGCGCACCAACCTTGCGCATTACCTCAATAAACCATAATTTTATTAAATTCAGAATAATACTCACAAACAACAAAGTAAATCAAGCATATAAATCCTCAAAGGAACTTTGGAGGTGTGAAGCCTGTGCGAGTCACATCCTGGGGGTAGATTCTCAGAGTACGGCTGATGCGTTTCGAAGGGGGTCCCTTCTTCATCAGAGCCAACTGAACAATGAGTGCTCTCTACCATATATACCCTGGGACTGGAACTGAACCCTCCCAACTGGGCTGGGCAGTCTCGGACACGGAGGAGGGGCAAAGGTGTCAACGTGTACCAACAAAACAATTACATAGTTGAGATGGATGATCTTTGTATATTAAAAAAAAAACATTAAAACCATTGGATTCATTAAAAAATCTCAAAAATATATAAAAAAATGTGTATATTAAGTATGTAGATAGTCCGCCATATTACTATTGAAACATGCAGCGAAGGCATAAAAGATAAAAAGTAATACAATTTGAAAAATCAAAACATGAATATACAGATGTAATTATGAATAGAAATAATTCCGATTATTAGTATTACTTAGGGTTGAATTTGTGTTGAAATTTGTGTTGAAATAGGTATACTTTTCATTTAGAGATATACTCCCAAAAAAAAGTCAGGAGCCTTGGAGCATATTTCAACACAAATTTCAACCCCAAGTAATACTGATAATCTGAATTATTTCTATTCATAATTACATCTGTATATTTATTCATGTATTAATTGATTTTTCAAATTTTATTACTCCATGTCTAGAGTGACTTCTAAGCACACAAGACAAACACAGAACATGACTTAGGTCAGAAAACACTTCCAAGAAGTGTACTGGTGACTTCCTGAAAGTACCTAAAAAACCAAGGCTTTATTTTATCAACACAGCCTGACCACCAGAATGGAAGGTGTACTTCCACATGGGAAGATGGGGATGAAGACCACAAGCTGATAAGAGTTTCAATCTCAACTCTCCCATCAGAAAGGAGATGCCCCTTGAGAGAACCTGTAAGGAAAAATGCTTGCTGAAAGAACAAAATTAAAACCTATTTTGCTAAATTCTAGTGTAAAGAAACAACTTAGAAAACACAGGCCTTAAAAAAGTACATACATTTGGATATTTAGATTTACACAAAAATGCAAAAAGAAATTCAAGGGAGCAATCAGGGTAGCAAAAATAGAATAAGAGAAACACATAAAATAGAATAAGGGGAACAAATGCCAATGTTTTTAAATATACAAAATTGTAAAACGCTTATAAATGAACAGAAAGGCCCCCTTAACAGATGAACACGGGAAGCAGATTACAACTGACTGGGAAAAGGCAGATATATTTTTTTTTCTAGTCAGTTTTTTACAGATAAAAAAGACGGGTTTGATAGTCGAAACAGTAATACTACTTACATTTCACTGAAGGTACCTTTTCGGTTTACTGAAAACCAGGTACAAGAGAGACTTGAGAAACTTCATGTAAACAAATCACCAGGCTTGGAACTTAGCTCAGTTATAGCCAAGCAACTATTTCTATTTTTTTATTAAAAGACTCCTTACTAGATGGAATGGTACCAACTGATTGGCATAGACCAAATATTGTACCAATCTACTAAAAAATAAATAAAAAGTATTCATATGTATACCAGGAAACTACAGACCAGTCGGACTACATCAATAGAATGTAATGTATTCGAGGGAATAGTAGGGGACTCTATACAGAAATCTGTTTGTCTGCATCATAAGTGACAACCAGAATAGATTTATGAAAGACTGTTCTTGTCAGACCAACCTATTCTTGTTCTATGAAGAAATCCAGTGGCTGACGTTTATCTAGCTTTTGACAAGAATTTGATAAAGTACTTCAAATGTTTAATCTAGAAATAAAATAAGGTGTGTTGGATTTGGGGAATTTGTATGTACAAGGATACAAAACTGGTTACATGAACGAGTCCAGAGTTGAGTGATAAATTACTCATTCTCTGAATAGTCTAAAGTTGTGAATGGTGTTCCCCAGGGTTCTGTCTTGGGGCCAATGCTGTTCAATCTGTTTTATTAAAGTAATTCTTAAGACTGAAGGTTTTTTTTACCTTCATGCATTCCATAATTTTAAAATGTTTTACCTTTAATACATCTTTAATGATATGATGATGGAATCATCAGCTCAATTTCACAGTTTTACTAATGATACCAATGCAACACAAATTCAGCACAGGATACAGCCTCACTACAGAAGAACGTTGATAAAATAAGGGGTTGGGCAGCTACATTGCAGATGAGATTCAATATTGGGAAAAAAAAGGTTTGCACTCAGATACCAAAAATACACATGGAAATTATACAGTAGGAAGGGTTGCCCAGGGGAAAAGAAAAGGATCTAGGTGTGCTTGCAGATCTTAGATTTTGTAAAGGCATGCAATGCCAAGCCACAGCTAAAAAACTAGCAAAATACTGTTATGCATTAAATTATGTCACGCAATGTTTTGAGGGGAAAAAAAAAAAAAACACACTTGAATGAATTTTAAATTTAAACAAATACACTATATAGCCACATTTTTTGGTAAAATATAAAAGATTGCGTTATGACAAGTAAATAGATATCTAACCTGTCACGCTTTAAAAATGCACACGCTCTTGGAATGGCAACAAACTCTGATACTTAAACTCCATAAGTAAAGCTTTAAAAATGTTTACAGGTTACCAGTTTTGCGTTACACAGGAAGTCTAATGCTAGAATTAGGTTTCTTGCAAGAACGTTCACAGCAATACCTTACATGTGTGGTGCGAACACAGTTTACATACGTGTGCACAACCTACGTATGTGTTCGCTACTGTGTGCGAGCATGGGGAGATGGGAGCACGGCAATTTTTTTTACCCCCCCTTTTTTCCCCCTTTTGTCCCTTTAATTCTTTTTTGATCACTTTTATTCCTACCACAAGAAATGTAAACATCCCTTGTGATAGAAATAATCTTTGAGACATCTGGGGTCTCCCAGATCTCTCCTCTACCCCGGAAAGCATGTAATTTAAAAAAAAAAAAAAAATTGTTCTCATGCTTTCCAGAAAAAAAATGGCAGTGTTTATATCAGCCAGAACCAGAATTTAAGTCATCTGGTCAAAAGCCACCTCTATGATAACCTGGAAGCACCACCAAATTAGATACCGGGCTCTTGATCGCACACGAGAGCCCGGAGAGACACCAGGGGACGGAGGGGGGCAAAGATCATCCCCTTCCACCACTTGTAAAAGCAATTCAGCGGCTAATTAGCCACTAGGATGGCTTTTACATGTTAGGGAATCACTGGCTGACAAAAAAAAAAAAAAAAAAAGATATCAGGATGATGCCTGCAGCTGAAAGTACTGAAAGTCCAGGACAGCATATGGCGTCCTATGGGTTGGAAGTGGCTAATAAGGGGACCTTAACTGTGAGCATCAAATACATAATTACAATTGTTCACTCTGGAGAAGGAGGTGCTTAAGTGGGAATATGGCTACAATGGACAAATACAGTGCTGTAAAAAAGTATTTGCCACCTTCCTGTTTTTTTTTAAATTTTTTGCATATTTGCCACACCTCAATGATTCAGATCAACAAATACATTTTAGCATTACACAAAGATAACCCCAGTAAATACAAAATGCGTGCGCCTTGCATAGGGGCACGCTCTGTGATTACAGCTGATCACAAAGCGAGGTAAAGGGTCATTCACAGCGGCTGTTTACCAAGTGATCATCTGTTTCCCAACACAGCTGATCACAGTGTAAACAGACTTGTCGGTTATCGGCAGTCTTTTCCTCACATTCTGTGACAGCGCGGAAAAAGGAAAGCCGGTAACCGGCAATTCACACAGGCAACATTTACACTGACAATCAGAGCTACAACCACATTTGACTGTTGCTATGATGTTCTTTTTATGAAATGTTGTGTTAAGTTTTATGCCAGATGTTACGGGACGCAAAACGTCCAAAAAGTTCAACTTTTGTATTTAATTGGGTTTTGTTTGTGTAATAATAAAATGCATTTGATGATCTGACAAATATGCAAAATAAAATAAAAAATCAGGAAGGGGGGGCAAATACTTTTTCAGAGCATTGTTTATTATAATTGACTTTAGTAACTGCAATCAGCTGTTTGCTCAAAGGTCCCTGAACAGGAAGCACGGGCACAATTTAAGATTAGAAGAAAGCAGTTAGCCTAAGATTGCGGAAAAGGTTCTTTCTCGTTAAAACAGTTAAAATGAGAAACTCCCTCCCCCAGGAAAATGGAATTAGCTGAGAGTGTTGACAAAAAAAAAAAAAAAAAAAAAAACTTCTAGGTGTCCTCCTCAAGAAGCAGATTTACAGGGCTATGAGAATTGCTAGAGAATAAAAATCACAAACACATACACATAGGTTGAACAAGATGGATCAGTGTCACCAGAAAACAAAAGGGACTGAGATGACCTTTCAATATTTTTCTTGTGCTAGGGCAAAAATGCAGTTGCAAGGGTAGGTCCAAAAAGATGTCCATCAAAGACTTAGCTAAATAGGAGCCTCTTGGACATAGTGTCCACATTCCAGCACTTTAGCCAGGGTGCTCTGCACATTTGTGTAAACACAAAACTTTTAATAAAGAAAAGCAGAGATGCTTTTGGCAGGCCATCAGAGCTGAAGCATAACGCCCTGGACATCTGCTTTGCATACTCAAACATGAAGGGGTCCACTGTCATGGGGGACATATCCTATTTGATGGATTTGGTCCATTCTGGATCAGTTCAATTTCACAGGTAGAATACAGCAAACGGTAGGGGTCTGCCAGTGAGAACTGAGTTTTAAAGAAGGAGTTTAACTATTGGGTCTGTAGAGTCCCTGAATGTGAGGATACCATCTACTGATCTAGTAGTTTCCCTTTTAAAAGGGAGGTCATTGGTAGGTCACCAGTAGGCATAGACCACACCTTGGGAAATGCTTCCCAAGATTTAACAGTGATGGAGAGAAGAATATTGGCTAAAGAGTGAACAAAAAGAAAAAAATGTTAACAGCAAAATGGTTAGACTTTTCCCAGCAGAGCTAAAGAAAAGACATCCAATTCTCCTAGGACACTAGCAAAAGAATGAGGCCAGTGTTCAATCTTCCTGTAGGCGACAGTATAACCTGACAGTTAAGGACTTCCTGTGTCGCTCAATGGACAAGAAAGAAAAGCAGTTATTTATGATACACAGTGATTTAGCAAGCTAAATGTCATTCAATTAGGATTTGCATCTACATGAAAAGATAATTACATTCACATTTCTCTAAAACAAAACAAAATAAACTATCAAAAGAAAAGTAAAATGTAAATGGAATATGTTTTTCTTCCTTTTGACATACAGTGGGGATCGAAAGTTTGGGCACCCCATCTAAAAAATTTGTATTAATGTGCATAAAGAAGCCAAGGAAAGATGGAAAAATCTCTAAAATGCATCAAATTACAGATTAGACATTCTTATAATATGTCAACAAAAGTTAGATTTTATTTCCATCATTTACACTTTCAAAATAACAGAAAACAAAAAAATGGCGTCTGCAAAAGTTTGGGCACCCTGCAGAGTTAATATCTTGTACTGCCCCCTTTGGCAAGTATCACAGCTTGTAAACGCTTTTTGTAGCCAGCCAAGAGTCTTTCAATTCTTGTTTGAGGTATCTTTGCCCATTTTTTTTCCTTACAAAAGTCTTCCAGTTCTTTGAGATTTCTGGGCTGTCTGTCACGCATTGCTCTTTTAAGGTCTATCCATAGATTTTCAATTATGTTGAGGTCAGGAGATTGTGAAGGCCATGGCAAAACCTTCAGTTTACGCCTCTTGATGTAATCCCCCGTGGATTTCGAGGTGTGTTTAGGATCATTATCCATTTGTAGAAGCCATCCTCTCTTTAACTTCAGCTTTTTCACAGATGGCATCAAGTTACCATCCAAAATTTGCTGAAATTTTATTGAATCCATTTTTCCTTTTACTCGTGAGATGTTCCCTGTGCCACTGGCTGCAACACAACCCCAAAGCATGATTAATCCAACCCCATGCTAACAGTTGGACAGAGGTTCTTTTCATTAAATTCTGTGCCCCTTCTTCTCCAAACGTACCTTTGCTCATTCCGGCCAAAAAGTTCAATTTTAACCTCATCGGTCCACAGAACTTGTTTCCAAAATGCATCAGGCTTGCCTATATGTTCATTTGCAAAGTTCAAATGATGATTTTTGTGGTGAGGACGTAGAAGAGGTTTTCTTCTGATGACTCTTCCATAAAGACCATATTTGTACAAGTATCTCTCTATAGTGGAATAGTGTACCACAACTCCAGTGTCTGCCAGATCTTTCTGGAGGGATTGTGCAGTCAAACGTGGGTTTTGAATTGTTTTTCTCACAATCCTGCGAGCTGTTCTGTCTGATATTTTTCTTGGTCTTCCAGATCTTGCTTTAACTTCCACTGTTCCTGATGACTGCCATTTCTTAATTACATTCCGAACAGAGGATATTGACATCTGAAAACGCTTTGCTATCTTCTTATAGCCTTCTCCAGCTTTGTGAGCGTCAACTATTTTCAGTTTCAGTTTTCTAGACAACTGCTTAGAAGAGCCCATGGTGCTGATTGTTGGGGCAAGGTCAGATGAGTCTGGGCATTTAAAACCTTTGAGATTGACATCACCTGGTCTTCCCAGACGATGATTGAGAACAATCCATGACACTGGCAGGTCTCAGCTTGGCAAAGGGGGCAGTGCATGCTATAAATTCTGCAGGGTGCCCAAACTTTTGCAGACGCCATTTTTTTGTTTTCTGTTATTTTGAAAGTGTAAATGATGGAAATAAAATCTAACTTTTGTTGACATATTATAAGAATGTCTAATCTGTAATTTGATGCCTTTTGGAGATTTTTCCATCTTTCCTTGGCTTCTTTATGCACATTAATACAAATTTTTAGCTGGGGTGCCCAAACTTTCGATCCCCACTGTAATTCATATTGCACTACCTCAAAGCTATGCTTCTGAACATAACCGCTGTACACATTGTGCCCTTTCATTCAACAAACTATTTCATTTTTAAAAATGCTGTAAAACAAAAATAACCTTTCCTTGAGAACCATATTACCTCAGAGTCCAGCTTAAATTGTAGCCACTCATCCAGCTTAAGAGAGGTCAACAAAGTTATAGCCCGATCCTCCATCTCACTGTCACTGCTGTCATTGGGGACACCATCTAGAGTTGCTGCAATACACAGATTGAAGACTAATTTATTTCAAATCAGAGCGGCGTGATTTAAATATTAGCAACAATAAAACTTCAATTACCAAACTAACATCAAATAATTGAGTAAATTGGAAGACATGAGATTATAATAAAACAGAACGGTTAGGACCTCTATCAAATTGTTATTGTCTGTGTCGTTCAAGAAGATTTTTCCATAAATTCCAGTCCCAGCAACATGAAAAAGTGGAATTTTTCCCAATGTGTGGGAATGTTCTTTTACCTTTGTCACTGAGAAATTCTTAAATTCCCCTCACTGTGTCCTATTGGTCACCATGAACAATAGTGAGGGTAGATCACATCAACAAGGACACAGTAATAAAAACCTGACAGTCCCCATTCTCTGTACATTATTCAAACACAAGGAAAAAAGTTTTGGATCGACTTGAGGCAGTTTGAAAGATGTGTTGTAGATGCCCATCTACAAATCTCAAAATTTTATCAAAAAAAAAATAAGAAAGCACATACAAGTAAAACCTACATAAAAATATTAACATACCAACTATAAATATCTGTTATTGAAATTATACTTTACTTTCCCGTTAGGATTTTTAAAATTACATAATGTCCGATAAAGTGGTTGTAAAGGCTAAAGGTTTTTTACATTTATGTATTCTATGCATGACAAAAAAAAACCTTCTGTGTGCAGCAGCTCCCCCCACTTACCTGAGCCCCCTCTTGAACCAGAAATGTGCATGAGAGCAGTGGCTCTCCTGGAACTCTCTCTCTTCACTAGCCAAGACAGCAGCGGACACCAATGAGGAGGCCAAGCCGAACTTTATGCGTGAATGGACAGGCAGAGCAGTGGCTAAAGAGCTAATCTGCTTGGGTGCTACCATAGCAAGCTGCTTGCTATGAGGGCAGGAGTGAGGGTCCAAGAGCACCATCAGGGGATCCAAGATGAGTAGGAGTAGGCATTTAATATCCCTTTATTGTACTGCATATTGTTTAAAAAGCACAACAAAGCTATTTTTGGCTAACACAATCATATACACAGGTGTGCAAAAAATCCTATCCTTTACAAACTCAAAGTCTTACCATGGAATGAAGACTCTTGCAATGCGTTGCTTGGCAGCCGGGCAGGTCCCGAGAAGATTGTTACGGTGACTGGTGTAACCATTGTGCAACATTTAATGTTGGCAATTCTATGTGCTCGAGTCATTTCATCATATATCAGCCAATCTGTAGGCAATGCTTGTATTGCTGCTGCCTGACCATTCTCAGGGGGGATCTGTTCCAACACAAAACATTTATTTGGTTTCATTCATGTTATAATGAGAAAGCAAATACAGCACATTTTGTATTTAAATCCCTTGAATCACAAAATTATATGCCACCTAAGGGGCAATGACACTATGAGCAGTTACCTGCCAGGAGAGGCACCTCCAGCATACAACCTGTGATTGACAGACTTGGCTCTGTTCCTGTGAACAAAGTGAAGGAAGCTATGTCCCTTCCCCAATCAGCTCTCAGAGCTCTCCTGACCAAGCCAAGCAGTTTGTGATTTCATTTCTCTTCCCCGTTTTCTGAAAGCTCAGAAAAGCTTGAGAAATTCTGGACTTTGAATGGATGTAGAGAAGAGAAGACTACAGATAAACAGGTAAATCGTATGGCGAGTATGGAAAAGAATCACCCCCCCTTTAAAAATAATCACATTTTGTTGCTTTGCAGCCTGAAACGAAGACAGACATTTTTTGTTTTATCCAGCTGTATTTACTCAGTTGAACTTATAACATCCAAGAGAAAGATATAACACCGATACCAAGTCAGAAAAAAAAAATAAAATAAATTCAAAAAAAGAATCACCGAGTTGGAAAAAGGATCACACCCTTGTGTCAGTATTTTGTTGAACAACCTTTTGCTTTAATTACAGCCTTTACTTTATTGGGATATATCTCTACTACCTTTGCACATCTAGGACTTTGCAATATTTGCTCACTTTTGTTTGTAGAACTGCTCAAGTTTAGTTAAAATTGATGGTAATCATTGGTGGACTGCCATCTTCAAGTCATTCCACAGATTTTCAATGAAGCTGAAGTCTGGCCTTTGATAAGGCCATGCAAGGACATTCACCTTCTCCTTCAAACACTGTGTGGTCATTTTTGCTGTGTGCTTTGGGTCATTGTCATGTTGGAAGGTAAACCACCTTCCCACTGACAACTTTCTGGCCAAGGGCAGCAGATATTCCTCAAGAATTTGACTGTATTTTGCCTCACCCATTTTTCCTTCAATCCTGACAAGTGCTCTAATTCCTGCTGCAGAGAAACCCCCCATAACAGGATTTTACCACCTCCATGCTTTATTGTAGGAATGGTGTTATTTGGATGGATTTTTTTTCCGTTCTGTCACCTCACTGGGCCAATCACATTACTGGGTATATGCAAAGGTTTACACCCTCTTTAAAAAATCCTGAAGGAATATGGCCACATACAGAGAGATGCTCAAAGAAGGGAGCCATTGAAGAAGCCCTTTGGAATATTTACAAAGTGGTGCATGTGAGATTTTTACTTGATTTAATATGCCCACTGAAAGCTGAAGGCATCAGACACTGAGCCTAATTGATCAGTATATATTCAAAGTAATAGTATATAAAGGATAACATGCTGCTCTTGCTAAAGAAGTATCACTCTATTTTTTCAGACACTTCACAGGCACACTAAGTAAAGCTGAAAATTAAGCTTTGACATCATACAAAGTACACAGTCATCCTACTGAGGGGTTCCATTGTTCATCTAGGCATAGCTATAGCACATGTCCACTCTTTTTCTTATCAATATGGTGATCAGAATTCCAATGTCTTGCTAATTACTAATAGAGGAGATGAATTCTCTCCACTGCAGGTTTCCCTCACAAAGTCTGAAGTATGAAATGTCAGTACTAAGTTTTTCGTCGCCATCAGTCAATCAACTGAAATCTGTCTTAACCAATTGCATAGTTGGCAAGTTTAAATAAAGACACCAGTCCATCTAGTTCAACCTGTGTGGGTGTATGTGTGTGTTTATGTCAATACCATTTCCCATATCCCTGTATATTGCATTCACTATGATGCCCATCTAAATTATTTTTTAAATACATTTTTTTATTAAAATGATATAACTACAGTTTGCTGACCGGTCCAATACATTGTAATCGAAATAGGTTACAACAGAATATTATATACCAAAACATATAGGTTACAAAAACATGATGCCGAAGTTCGATACATATATTGAGTCAGTAGGTAAAGTTGCCAAGCGATAACATCAAGCTTACAGCTCAAATGCAGCAAAGAGAAAAAGAAATATAAACAAAAGTATAAAACCATCCCACCAAAGAACACTGTATCAATGGGAACTATAGGAGCAATGGTAATGGTAGTCTATGACCGAAGTTATTAAGATAGTATTTAGATCATATACCTGTAACCACGGTTGCCAAGAAAATCAAAATGGAGTGTTTCATTAGTTACTGTATGAGAAGAAACATTCATAAAAACATTGTTGGTGGACCCTATGCACTACTTCAGATAGGTTAAGGGCAAATTACTGTTTCCAGTTACTAGCGATTGTGAATCTTGCCGCAAACAGAGTATGCATAACCATTGTTCGGTATTGTTTTGGGAACTGGTCAATGGAGATGCAAAGTAAAGCTAGCTGAGGAGATGGAGGAGTGATAATTTCAGTCATTTCAGATAATCGTAAAAAAATACTGATTTCCAAAAACTAGTAAGGCATGCCATACACATGTAGACTATTGCCTGTATGGCCACAGTTATGTCAATAGGTTGATGATGTTTGAGAAAACATCCTCAAAAGTCTGTATGGGGTCATATACCATCTATGTAGCATTTTCCCAATGGGAGATTCAATGAGTAGTAGTTTTATAAGTATATTTAATTGTGTTCACCATTCTTCATCTTGAAATGTGTGCCCCACAACTTTTTCCCCATTTTAACATAGATGTAGATCTCAGTTTGCCATTGCAACGGTGTGTCACTGATTTGGCAGTATATCCATCCATCGCTGATCCTCCCATCCAGGTGGTGCTGTACACAGTGCCAGCTGCCAGACCATTAGGCGAGCTCCTCTGCTCAGCTGTGGGCTTGTGGTTTGACAGCTTGTGTGAGTGCAGGTCCATGGTGCAGCAGTCATGGAAGCCAACAGCTGAACTGCCATTCGGGAAGTGAGGAGAGGGGGGAGAGGTGTTCACAGTGTGATGCCAATGCATTGGATGAAATGCCTCATACATGCCTACAATTGTGAGTGCACTAGGAGCCAATGCACTCATTTTCTAATGTGTAGATCTCCAGGAGCCTATATTATGTTGCAGACAGATATAAAATCGAGAAATACCACCCTTCGTAATCAACAATGGCAACATTTCTAGATCTCTTCTGATATGCCAACCTGCTGTTGAAAAAACCGTTGGTGAAAGTGGACAGTTTCAGACAATTTTTAGGTATCGCTAATTGCCTAAATGTCATTTTTTTTTAAAATGCAAGCGGTGTAAGTACCTGATTTTGACTTGGTGTCAAACTCCTGCAATCCCTTACAGCAGAGCTCAGGCTGTGAGAAAGGGGAAGCAGCATAAAGAGCCAATCAGTTGTGCTGCAGAGCAAGGAACAAGCTGACATGGGGGAGAGAGAACAGAAGGACAGATGAGGCCATCAGTTTGCTACTTCTCCTTTCATTGTCCAGTTATAGTTTGTTAGTGTGGAAGAAATCTGTAATTACTGAACCATAGTATAGAAATATCAGGTCTTTTGCACTGCCAGACAAGACTATTCTATGAACCAAACAATCTGGAGCAAACACCACACACCAGGTTTAGTTTAAACCGTCTTTTTTCCTTAACCCTTACGATTAAGTCCTTGTTGAATGAACTGCGCATCAGTGAGGGAGTATCATAGGTAGAATGATCTGTG